CAATACAAGTGCCATAGCTATCACTCACAATCCCGTGTTACATTCAAGAACAAAACACATTGATGTGAGACATCATTTTATCCGGGATCATGTTGAAAAGAAGGAATTATCAATCGAATACATCCCGACCGAGAATCAATTAGCTGATATTCTCACAAAGCCTCTGTGTGAATCAAGATTTTCGAAATTAAGACACGAGATGGGCATGATTTAATTGAGCTAAGTCTCTAAACTCTATTTAAATTATAAGTTCAATTTTCATCTGAAATTTTGATACTTTATATGATTTTATTTCATGCCTATGTGTCACACATGCAAAAGTTGTCACATCTTAACATTTAAGTCTACCTATCTCAATTGCATGTATCTCTATTTCAACCGTGTATGTACATACATATATGCACAAATAAAAAATCATTTAGATCTACACAATCTTACCATTTAAGAGCGACAAGATGGTATGACGATAAGTTTCCTTAAATAAGAACACCTTTTTATGGTAGTTGTGCATAATAAATAGTCTAGAAAGAATAGATTTCTCTTTCTTCCATCTACATAAAATGTGTAGATATATACATATTATTTTCGAAACAAATTTAGTGCTCTATGAATTTTATTTCAGGTAAAATCAGTCCGAGTATCTAAATTTTTGGTGCCACATCAGCAGACAAATTGGATGGAGAATATATAACCTAAACTAACTATCAGTTAGGTCAAAGGTTGGAAGCTATTGGAATATCAAAAATACCCCTCACTTATTTAAAAGACAACATTTAATTGTGAGGATATTTGTGTAAAGACACCTTCCTTCCACCCAACCGGTTGGAAGAGCCACCATTACACTCAAAACTCTCAAAATCCTTTCATCTTCCATAGCCGAAACACTCAATCTTCATCTCTTTCAAAATCTTCAATCCCTCAATCTCTAAAAATACCAAGCACATTATGGCTACCATTGGAGATTCAAGCTCTCAACCGAATGAAAAACACTCTACACAACTCAACCTAACGAAGCTAGCAGTTGGAATCAAGGCCGGAGGAAGTTTTGACCCTCAAGGATTTCTCAAAGAAGTCGAGAACTCTCATCTTGCACAAAGAATCATCCATGCACTTCAACAAAGTAATCTCATGAGGTTATGTTCTTATCCATACTCAAGATTTTATGATGAAGATGTAGCAGATTTTTATGTGAATGCCAAGGTTGTTGGATGGACCATTGCGTCCACCGTGAATGGAACTCTCATCACCATTGATGAACAAGAATTGCACACAACCTTTGGACTGCCTATATCTAGTCCAGAACAACCACTGTTGGACTTAGATGTTCACACATATGATCACACGGAAATTTGGACAGAAATTCGGAATGAGAATGCATCTCTCGAACTAAATCTTTCCGGTCAAAAATCTGATTTGAAGTTTGAGTATGAGATGCTAGTTAGAATTCTCTATAAATGTGTATTGTGCAAATTGAATAGTATGGAGGATATATCACTCGTGAGAATTGGATATTTGCATGCTGTGATGAATGGTGTTAGGGGTGACTGGAGTAAGCTTATCTTGAGCCGGATTGCACATTTTGTGAAAGGTGCGAAAATTAGGAATGGCAAGTTCAATCGCATCCTAGTGTTCGGGTTGCTTAATGGAGAAATTATAAAAATGAAAGGGTTACCAATGAGATCAAGAAAGCCTTTTGGAAGTAATCGAATTTTGTTTAAGGATCATGAAGAATCAACTGATTTGAGCTCCAAGAGAAAAAGGAAACCGAGAGGCATTCCTGCTAGGAAAAGGCCAGTTGTAGAAATTCTTTGTTTATCTTCTCAACCCTCAACTCAATCCCATGAAAACCCTACCTCAAGCCAAAATCCAAACACAAGCCAAAATCCAAACACAAGTCAAAATCAAAACACAATCCAAAATCCAACCATAAGTCACAATCCCAATACAAGCCAAAGTTTATTGAATTCTTTTTCCCAAATTGCCGAAATAGAGTCAATGATGAATGAGGAGATTTATCAAGTTGATGGACTTGATTTGGTATTAGTGAATGAATACCGAAGAGTCCTAAATTGGAGAAAATGGAGACTTGGTTCTTATCAAGATTTGATGACAAAGGGACCGAGTATGCAAGAAGAAGAATTATTTTCCTTGAATTGGATTGGTAATTTTGATGTTGGCCATGCAACTTTGATGTCTATGGTGAATGGGATATTTGCGAATAAATTGAAAGCTAAGTTGGCCGAGACTACTCTTGATGGCAGAGTCCAAGGAGATATGCCTACGGAAGATGATTTCCTAGTTGATATTGATGAATTTGTTATAAGGAATGTTGAAGAAGTAAATGTCACATGTGGTGCACATTTAATGGACAGTGGCTTATATGATGTGAGTGTTTTGAATTTCACTGAAATAAGTCAAGATCAAAATGCCATGCAAGTTAGCCAACACACGAAGGAAATTCAATCCATTCATCTAGAAAGTGCACAAGGTGACACGCACGTGTTACACACACCGGAAAGAGAAGGATATCAAGTGGAAAATCAAGCACAATCTCACATGCTTGAAGTCAATTCTGCTCAAGAAGGAGCAAGGTGTGTTCCCACAACCCGAGAAGAGCAAGACATTGATGGCACAACCTCAAAGGAAAAATTGGAAAATCTGGAGAAAGTTGTACTAAGCCTTGTTGACCGAATGGAAAGCATGTTTCAAGGCATCTACACTCATTTGGATCATGTTGTCAATAATCAAGGTGGAAAAATCGAAACATCTTTTGATGAAAATCGGAGGAGTCAACAACATTTGATCGACACCCACCAAGCACTTGAGAGACAAGTTGGAGGATGGAATGCAAACGTCAAGGGGCAACTCAATGAGTTCTACATCCAACTCTCTCAAATCCTCCAGAATTCTGGAAAGGCAAATGAAGCAATTGCCATGAGTCAAAGCCAAGGAATTCTCAATGTTGTTCATCAACATGAGAAGCAGATTAGTGATGTCCACACGGATCTCATCTCCGTCAACACCAAAGTAGGCTACCTTCGGGGATCATATGAAAATATTTCCGAATCTATTTCATCTCTTCGTGAATCGGTTCATACACTTCTTGATTACGCCAAAAAGGGGGAAGAGAGATTCAGTCATTTGGAAGGCATGCTTGAGATGATGATGACTGCCATGGCCACCCGAAATGTTGGCACAAGCAGTAGTAGACATGGAGGAGGCAGATCTGCTGGCAGAAATGTTGCTAGAAGGGGAGGATTGGAATATTGGTTCGGTGGTGGTGAGGCTGGCAGTCCAGGAGGATCAAGCAGCGCAAATACCACTAACCGTTCTTTTCGTGACATTGTTTGTGCGGGTGGAAATGTTGAGCAAATTAATTGGTATAACCGTGTAGCTCTCTATTTGGAATCCACACCAAGAGATGGTAGAGTTGAAATGCCAAAGTTGGTGACTTTGAATGATCTACCAAAGGGAATGAAGAAGAGTGGTCCAAGTGATCAAAATTTGTGGGTTTCGAATGAGAATTTCAGGAGAATCCAAAGCTATGGTAGAGCTTTGATGATCATGGTTCTAAAGGACAATATCAAGGTCAATGATGCCGAGCTACAAAATGGAAGAAGTCTAGAAGAGTGCATCATATGGTATGAAGAAAGTATACTGCCCGGAAGCAACATCATTGAAGCATTCCACTACTATTCAGTTGGGCAGGTATGCAACAATTATGCCATTAGTGACAATTTCATTGATGTTCAAAATCATATAAATCATGTGCTTAAAGAGAGGAGAAACAAAGTAATTAGATGATTTGTATGATTGTCACATTTGTTTTTGTATGGTCTACGAGAACATGAACCCATGAACAATTTGGAACAATTTGGAATGATTCGAATTATCTGTTTATGATGCTACTAGTTTTCCTTGTTATTTATTGATATTTTATTTGTCTTAAAAGGTAACATTTTTAGCTTAGTTTGGAAAAATCGCATAAATTGGAAAAATGCAAAAATTCATTATTCCAAAGTCCAAAAATGGGAATAGGAATTTTAGTTGCTAAAAATACCTTTCTTAGAGTCAAAATCAAATGTTAAACTCATCTTGGCTATGTGTATGTTAATAAAATCTTTTGAAAAATAATTTTTTTTAAAAGACAAGCCAAATGACTGAGTATAGGTTTTGGCGTCATCAAAAAGGGGGAAAATTGATAGGAATATTTTTTTGTAAGTTTTGATCAAGCCAAATGTACTTTAGATCCCCATAGTTTTTAGGTCTTTGAGTACAAGCATCATAAATCAGAATAGCGAGTCAAAAGGAATCTACCATTGGAAGAACAAAATTAATTTGAGAAATTAATTTTGGTCCTACGAGTATTCATCCGAGAAAGAAGCATAAAGGAATGGCGTTGCAAAGAATGATTGGATGAGCGTAATGGCGAAATGGTAGAAGTCCTTACTCAAAATGATTACACCCGAGATCGATTCCCCCCAAGGATTTAATTTTTACAAATCAAGTTTTTGGACAAGCACAATGTCCAAAAGAGCACGATATGCTAAGGAGCACGATGTGTGCTGACAAGCACAATGTGTGCTAAGGATGAGGATACGATATATCTGAACGAATAATAATGAGTATGTACAGGAGTATATATAGTAGTGAATAGTAAACCTATTACAAGACGAATACTAATAATAATAGGTAACGAATACTAATTACTAATAATAATAGGTAACGAATACTAATGATGATAGAGTCCTAATACTCCCCCTCAAGCACAAGGTGGACTAGCAACAACATTGAGCTTGCCACATAGAGTAGAGAAACGCAGACCAGGGAGAGCTTTAGTGAACACATCAGCGAGCTGATCCTTTGTGGAAATGAAGCTAACCTGCAACTCCTTCTTCGCCACTTTGTCACGAACAAAGTGGTAATCAATTTCCACATGCTTCGTATGAGCATGGAACAACGGGTTGGAACAGAGATAAGTCACTCCCAAATTATCACACCAGAGAGTGGGAGGAGCAGCCAATGACACTCCAAGCTCGTGCAACAGAGAAACCAACCAGGTGACCTCCGCAGACACATCAGCCAGAGCCTTGTATTCAGCCTCTGTAGACGAACAAGCAACCGTGCGTTGCTTCCGACAAGACCAAGAAATCATATTGCCACCAAGAAAAAATGCAAAACCACTAGTAGACTTCCTGTCAGCTGGATCACCAGCCCAGTCCGAATCCGAAAAGGCATGAACCGCAACAGAGGAGGAAGGACGAATAAAAAGACCAAAGTGCAGAGTTCCTTTTATATACCGCAGAACAGGCTTGAGCATAGCCCAATGCTCAATGGTTGGAGAGTGCATATGCTGACAGACCCGATTCACAGCAAAAGAGAGATCCGGACGAGTAACAGTAAGATACTGTAGAGCCCCAGCAAGACTGCGATACTGCGTGGGATCCGCATAGGGAACCACAGAATCAGAAGAAGGTCGGGACACAGGAACCGGAGTAGCCAACGGTTTACAGTCCACCATACCTGCACGGCTCAAAATATCTCGCATGTATCGCGGCTGAGAAAGAAACAAACCACCATCCTTGGAGACCGTCTCAATGCCAAGAAAAAAAGACGGAGCACCCATGTCACGAATCTTAAACTCCAAGGCTAAGTCAGTAAGAAGCCGAGTAACACACGAAGCATCAGACCCATAACAAGGATATCATCAACATAGACAAGCAAATATAAACAAATAGAGGCATGAGTATAGATGAATAAAGAAACATCAGTCTTGGAGGGTGAAAAACCAACCGACACCAAGAAAGCATGCAACCTATTGAACCACGCTCGAGGAGCCTGCTTAAGACCATAGAGTGACCTCTGTAACAAACACACATCATCCGGCCGTGACTGGTCTTCATAACCGGGCGGCTGTCTCATGTAAACTGTCACTGCAAGATTACCATTGAGGAAGGCGTTGTGAACATCCAACTGCCGAATGACCCAATCGCGAGAAACGGCTAAAGAGAGAAGAAGCCGCACGGTGGTGGGTTTGACAACAGGACTGAAAGTCTCAAAAAAGTCTTGCCCAGCGACTTGATTGAAACCCTTTGCGACCAATCGAGCCTTGTGCCGCTCAATAGTGCCATCGGCCATGCGCTTCGTTCTGAACACCCATTTGCACCCCACAACATTCATGCCAGGTGTACGACAAACCAGATGCCAAGTGTGATTCTAGAGCAAGGCATTAAACTCAAGATCCATGGCCTCACGCCACTCCGGATATCGAACTGCCTGAGAATAACAAGTCGGTTCAGGAACAGTCATAAGAGCCACATGCTGCGTCGGTCCTTGAGAACGGGTTGCCATGACATGAGACCGAGGTTGAACAGGCTTCGCCGTACGGCGGCCTCGCTTGGGCGCAGTAGGAGCACCCGAGACCGCCCCTTCCGGTGCCGTAGCAGTCACGGTGCGAGAATCTGAACCAGCTGCGGCAGCCCCGGAATCCGCGTCCAACTCCGGATGAGGATCAGGTCCAGTGGGACAAACATCGGAGCCAACACCAACCCGAACGACACCAACACCCCACGGCTCAACCGAGCGAGAGCTAGAGACCTAAGAAGGCATAGAAGAAGCAAACGGATATACGGTCCCATCAAACCGTACATGGCGACAAATGAATACCTTGTTAGTAGCAGGATCTAAACAACGATAGCCACAAAACGAAGACGGATAACCAAGAAACACACACGGGGATGACCGATACTCCAACTTGTTACGATTGTACGGGCGCAACAGAGGATAACAGAGACAGCCAAACACACGCAAGAAGGAATAAGAAGGATTAGAATGATGCAAACGATAATGAGGACTAACATTGTCTAGAACTCGAGTAGGCATTTTATTGATGAGATAGACCGCAGTCTCAAAGGCATAATCCCAATATCGCTGTGGAACTGAAGCCTGAGCCAAGAGAGCCAGACCCGTTTCCACAACGTGACGATGCCGACGCTCAACTCTACCATTCTGCTCATGGGTATAGGCACAAGATTGCCTATGATTGATACCCAAAGAGACAAAAGTACGGTGCAACCGTTTATACTCTCCCCCTAAATCAGATTGTATAAAGACAATCTTACGACCATATGAACGCTCAACTAGTGACCGAAACTGCTCGAAGATAGCATACACATAAGTTTTTAATCGCATAGGATAAAATCATACATAGCGTGTGTAGTCATCAACAAACAAAACAAAATAACGAAAACCATTGACAGAAAGAAAAGGCGCTGGGCCCCAAATATCAGTATAAATAAGCTCTAAAACATGCGACGTATTAGTATTGATACGAGGCAAGGGAAACCGAGATGATTTCCTAAGCATACAAGCACGACACGACACCAAACTATTACTAAAACTATAATCAATGGAACACGAATTCAAAATCTGCCGCAAGACACGAGGATGAGGATGACCCAACCGACCACGCCAAATGTCAAAGGAGACACGCGAAGCCACTAATGCAGCGGGATTCGAACGAGAAACAGGCCAAGAATAGAGACCCCCCGAAGCCTGCCCTCTATACAGAACTTCCCTGGTTGAACGATCCTTCACAAAGAAACAATCAGGGTGAAATTCAAAGAATACATTATTATCACGGGCAAACCGTTGCACAGATAATAAAGATGCAGAAGCCCAGGAACAAAAAGAACATCAGACAACCGAAACAGTGTTTTAGAAGAGGCTACCGAAGACGAACCAGTACCAATAATAGGTAAACACTTACCGTCACCAACACGAAGATGATCCGGACCGTTATAAGAGACCGTCGAGGACATCAAAGACGGATCTGGGGTGGCATGGTTCGACGCACCAGTGTCGGGAAACCATTGCTGAGTGCTAACCGAAGCTGCATCATCCACAGGATACGCAACATGCGCTCTCTGCCCCGGAGCTCCATCGTACCGGCGAAAGCACGAAGCGGCTGAATGGCCCTCGCTGGAGCAGATCTGGCACTGGACAGCCCCGGCACCGCCACGACCACGGCCGCGGTTGCCGCCTCCACGCTACTGCCCGCCCGAACGGCCTCCACCTCGCTGAGCCGCCATGGCGACCGGAGCAGCAACAACATCACCAGCATCATCGGCACATATAAAAGCCTGCGAAACAAGAAAATCGGATAGCTCGGGCAGAGACACCGGAACACCCCTTGTGAGCGACGCCACCAAAGGACGATATTCGGACCGCAAGCCTCGGAATATATACATATTCTGATCCTCTAGCGTCACCGGACGGCCGGCAAGCGCTATATCCTCGATAAGCACCTGCACAGGGCCAAGATAGTCTGGGATCGAAGCATCCCACTACCGTAATCCTTGCAACTCGCCCACCAACAGGAGGGCACGAGCCCGTGTAGTCGAACCAAGAACCTGTTCGATTGCCAACCACAAATGCCGAGATGTGGACTTACCGATTGCGAGGTGCATCATCTCGTTGGACAAGGATGAGATTAATAAGGAGAGCACGGCCTTATCTTGACGGAGCCATGCACTCCGAGCAGCAGTTGACGAAGCCGACGAAGGCACGGCAGGAACAGCTCCCTCGGCAGGCGGCACGGCAAGCGCGGTGATCGGCGGACATACCGAAGTACCATCGACAAAACCCAACAACCCTTGGCCATCCAAGAACGGAAGAAGCTGAGTACGCCAAAACAAAAAATTGCGGGATGTCAACTTGATGGAGACGAAGTGATGCGCCGAAGAGAAAGACATCCCCGACTGCAGCGGTGCAACAAGCGCCGCCTCGGAAACGGTCCGTCCAGAACTACCAACAGAGTCGTCATCAGATCCGAGGTGCGCCATTAGAGAGAGGAGAGAGAAACCTGCTGATACCAGATGAGGATACGATATATCTGAATGAATAACAATGAGTCTGTACAGGAGTATATATAGTAGTGAATAGTAAACCTATTACAAGACGAATACTAATAATAATAGGTAACGAATACTAATTACTAATAATAATAGGTAACGAATACTAATGATGATAGAGTCCTAATACTAAGGAGCACAATGTTCAAAAGGAGCACAAAGTGTGCTAAGGAGCACAATGTTCAAAAGGAGCACAATGTTCTAAAGGAGTAAAATGTTCTACAGGAGCACAATGTGAACAAGCACGATGTGTACAAAGGAGCACAATGTGACCAAATCAGAAAAGCACAATGTTCAAGTCAAGGAGCACGATGCTCAAGTCAAAGAAACATAATGTGGCAAAGAAGCAAGATGATCAGAAATTGGACAAATTCGAAGGAATTTATTCTAAGTCTACCCACATGTCACAAGAATCCAAAATTGCCTAGAAAACATTTGATCAGAACGGAAAAATATTTATGAAGACATGAATATAAAAACTTATCCTAGAAATAAATTCTATTAGATGAATTTACATAATTTGCTCTATTTCTATTTATCTTATCCGACTAACCCGTTTACTATTCACAGTCAATCTTAATCGTTCGGGTTTAGTGTGTTTTCACGTATGCATGTGACTAAAACTTCTCGAGCATAAATATTGAATTATTCTAAGCAAGTTTGACGTGTTGCATGTAACATTCATTACACGGTCGACGTGATACGATATTTATTTATAATCTTGAATATTACTTTTATATATTGAGTGCACCATCTCTTTTATATATTCGAGATACCTCTGTTACTTTATTCTATCTTACATGCGTATTTAATTCATTAATTGGGCATAACTCCTTACATACTACCTATTCCGCTGTGCAGTTTAAACTTACTCTATTTACTTGATATTTAGAGTTGAAGTTACCAAAGAGTTATTTATTTTGAAAAAGCTTGAAAGTCTATTCACCCCCCCCCCCCCTCTAGACTTTCACCACCCTATCGGGACCAACAAAAGCAAATGAGTTGAGTGAAGATTGTCTTATGGCTCTTGGAACAGAGGAAGAAGAGGTAACATCTAATTCTTTTTGTAACACCCCGAAATTTTTCAACTTTTAAAACTTATATAATAAGGGTAAATCCTCGTTGAATCCCAAAATATAACACAAGAGTACGGGGTGCTATGCCACACCTAAGCTAGAGAACTTAGGTGCACAGGCTAACTAACTAAAATTCTCAATAATGTAAATACATAAGCATGGCACGCAGGCCGAAAGGGAAACTATCTGCTCTACGCTCCAAATCTCTAGCGCACTCCAATGTCTACTCATCTGTGCCTGAAAGCCAAATATATCTGTTCAGCGAGAGATGCTGGTAACCCACTCCAACGCGTTGAAATACATTACATATAGAGATATATATAGATATACGAAAACCATTTTGAAGCAGGAAGAATATATACTTAAGAGACACTAGTTTTAAAACCGGGAATAGACTCAGCAAGTAGGGACAAGCACATCAAATAACAATAAATAGTTAAGCAGAGATAACATCTTAAGGAATACACATCCCAGGTCACTGATCACTTTCCAATTCCAAACACATCATCATCCAATCACCATTCATATCACATCATCATAGAATCACCATTCATATCACATCATCATCGATGGCGCCATGGGACCAATCGCATGCCCCGAACATGAGGGTCAATGCATATAGCATTAACACGACCCCG